AACAAAATTTTTCAAGCGGTGCGACATATTCTCCACCTTGATCACTACTAATCGTCTTTATTAGTTTTTCAAGTTGATTTTCAACTTCTGTTCTATAGTGCTTAAATACTTCCAAAGTTTCATCTTTGATTTTCAACAAATATAAATAACAGTATCTTGTACAATCATATATGGACGTAATGAAATACTTTTTACTACATTTTGTTTGGACAAACTTTAAATCACATATACCTGTGTAAATAAGTTCTAAAGGTGTTGAGATTCATTCGTTCGAATGAAAAAGACGCTTTGACTAACTTATCTTTTACACAAATTTCGCATTTATCATTTGTATTAAAAAGCATACTTGGTAGTAAACTTAAATTTATTAATTTGAGTAGTTTACATGTCCTAATCTATGATGTCATAAATTAGACAACTCAAAAATATAAGCAAAAGAAAATATTTTATTCCTTAAGTTATTCGGTACATTGGTAAGAACATTCATCTTGAATAATCCATCTTTTACATAGCCTTTGGCTACATACACTTATCAGATACAAAAACTAATTTAAAGTCATTCTTGCTTAATAAAGAACTCGACACTAATTTTTTGCGAATATCCAGCACATGATGAACGTTGTCAAGGCTAAGTTCATTGTCCTATGTCATCTTCAAAATTATTTTGCCTTGTCTTTTTAACCGTTGAATTTGAAGAGTTTCCCATGAACATATTTTCACCATCGGTTGGAGTATAAGATGAGAGTATTCCTTTGTCGGCACAAATATGACCGGTTGCATCCGTATCCACCCACCATTTCATGAGATTTCCAACATAGTTGCATTATAAAATAATGGCTGAAAAATTTATATCTGATATACCACCAGATATTGCATCAGATTCGGTGATATTCGCTTGGGCTTGCTTCTTAGATTTGCGACAATTAATAGAGTGATGTCCGGCATTTCCACAATTATAACAATTTCCCTTGAACTTCTTTGCATTCTTCTTAGAGGATTCGACGAAATGCTTCATTTTCTTTTTCTTGATATTTGATTCCACCACATTAGCCTTAACTTGTAGTAAATGACTCTTAACAACTTGTCTGAATTTTGGTTATCTTCTTCAATTCTCAACCAGACGATAAGTTCTTCAATATTCATCTCATTGGGCTTATACTTGAGATAATTCTAGAAATCTTTCCACATGGGTGGAAGTTTCTCGATAATTGGCTAATTGCAACCACTTGAAAAGATTCACTTAGAGACATGTTCTCTGCATGAATGTCATGGGGAATTACCTGCAATTCTTGTACTTGACTGATGACCATCTTTGAATATACCATTTTTTAGTCCAAGAATTTTTTAACGATGAACTTCTCAATTCTAACGTCTTCAGTCTTGTATTTCTTCTCCAAAGATTCTCATAGTTCTTTTGCAGACTTCATGGAACTATACACTTTATACAATGTGTTGTCCAACCCATTCAGTATGTAATTCTTGCCATCAAATGTTATCAACAATGCCCTATTATTTTTCCCTTCTTGCATGGCAGGAGCATCTTCCTTCAAGAATTTTGCCAATTTTAGGGTTGTGAGATAGAACAACATTTTTTATTGCCATCTATTGAAATCAACTATACTGAACTTCTCCGATTTCTCTCCATATGGAGCGGAATTTGTATGAACTGTGGGAGGAGCAACCGCAACTAGGAATCGAGTTATGTACAACTCTTTCCGAAGTTCCCATATTCGAAGTATCATTGAAGAAGCATCGGTATTGTTAACCGCATTCATTTCTGTTGACACAAAACAGAAGATAAACCAACAAAAATCAAGATCCGAGAAGGAGTAGAAGAAGTTAAATCAAAATGAAATCAGTTTAACTGAATAGAAATTAAATATAAAGCTATCACTCTAAGTGAAAAAATAAATAAATAAATTTGACTTAAGATTGTTGTTGTTTGTAAAATGAATTTGAGTGATAACTTTAGTAAATCAAACTTACCAACCTTACCAAAATTGAACAGAGTAACAGAAAGATATTGAAGAATAAACACCACAAAAATGATATTAAAAAGCCAATGAAAATGGACAAAATAACACCAAGAAAATATATGCAAAGTCGAGGCAAGAGTTGAACTATTTGCCCTTAAATCAAATTTGCCCCGCAACGGTGTCTACATATGATGGCCGTCAACTCCCAAGATCAAATGACTATCTTCTTATGTTTGTAACACTCCAAAACACAATAACAACGAACCAAAATATGGCTTTTGTACTAATTTCTTATGAAATGGAAACGAATTTTTTATGTAGAGTTTTGGTTAAGGAAATATAAATTTTTATGTTATGCTATGATTGTATATTATTGGGATGAAGTAATGGACGTTCCAATGGTCTTATTTATAGAAGATGAGAGGTTATGAGCTAAGAGGCACGACTCAAAACTCAGCAACATTTGCCAATGGTCGCAGCCTTTGCTGTTGCTAGCCTATCGCTCGTGCATCGCTCGAGAGTCAAAAACAAAGAGTCTGTCACTCGACCGAAAATCTCACCACTCGAGCGGTAGGCGAGTGGAAGAGTTAGAAAATTCTCAGCCAGCTTCCTCTCTTTCGTTTCCAACTTTAGACCGCAATTTCTCATTCATCCAAAATTGATTTTGAGATTCCAAATATACCACAACGATCAACTCAAAGAATAGAACAAGTTAGTCTATTTATTTCCATAATTTGACTATCGGATCAAGTCCAAATATTTAGCCGAAATTGACATGAAAGTCACATTTCCATGATTTTATACTTAACCAATTCCAACAATGTGCACTCTCATGCTCAAGTTAAGTAAAGAATAAATTGGGTGTGGGAGAGACAATGAATGGAAATATAAGTGCCAGGTTAAAAAAAGAATTACCAAATTGCAAGGGCTAAGATTCATCGAATGCTTGACACGTGACATCATCCCAACGATTTTTACGAGTCAAGTTTCATTCTATTAATTCATAGTTGTCTAAGCCTATGGCGCACGCGCCCTAAGAGTAGGTTGAAAAGTTGTTATCTAAGTAAGCGGCGTCTATGTAGAAATAGCATATCAATCACCTTGCGCAGTGTGATGTGCAGCTTGACCTGGCCGAGGCAAAGCTAATGAAATCTGGCAACAATATGTAGGGTGCTAACCATCCACTAGGAAAGCATTAAATCTATATAACGCTTGTTCCAAACAGAACCTCAACAAAAAGTTCGCAGAAAATGGAAAACCTCTTTTAATAGATCGTATTTTGTCTTATTTTCGTGCTTGTTTAAACTTCGAGAGATATGTTAAATGGCGGGATATAGTGCTAAAATGCAAGTTAAACACTTTTAGCCATTAATTTGAGAAAATTGGGCTGAGTTTGAAGTTTACTATATTGAAAAGTACTGTAATGTAGTTATAACATTTCATTATAATTACAATTATCTTTATATTATATTTGCTTAAACAATATGAAACTGAGTTCATCTCTGCTATTCATTATTTATGGGACTCATACAGCCTCTTCGACTAGAGCATGGCTCTTCATTTTCTGTCTTCTTCTTCTTCAAAACCACACCATATAGCCCCATCAGGGTAAGAACTGTTAGAAATAGTTGAAGAGGAGTATATGGATAAACACAAACGAAAATGAAGAAGACCAAAATATGGCCCGAACACATATATATGATACGTTGTTCTAAAAATGATATTTGCCTCCTCTCACATGTTTTAGGATTTCTAACAAATAGTTTAGAGGATTGACAAGCTTTTAAGGAAGAAGCACTAAAACACAAGTGATTCTTCCAAAAGAACTTGATGAAAACTTTAAGGAATTTGAATTTTTATTTGATGAATCTGAGTAACTCAAATTATATTTTTCTCGTGTTTAGATATGGAAATCTATCATCTATTTAAAGATTTTCATTCATATACCATGAATCCATGCCAAACATCCATAAAAAGAAAGGATTTTTCATCAAAAGCCACCTAGAATTCAAATGGAAAAAAAATCAGTCTAATAGCTAATAAATAAAACCATGCGTGCGCATGGTTATGTGTCATGCTGATGCATGGCACAAGCAAATTACAATCTGTAAATTCGTATGGCTGCCATGCGTACGTATGGCAAAATAGCCCATGTGTACGCATGAGAAAAATCGCTTTCTTGCCAATTTGCTTCCTATCCAATATCTCTATTTTAGAGGCCCAATTTCCAATTTTTATATTAACGTTAATTTGAACAAAAATAACAAGAACTGCCCGCAGCAGACTAGGCAAAAGAAAATCGCCAAGAAAAGAATTAATCATTAACTCAATTTTCGTTGAAATGATGTCATCATCAAGGCCAAGTAGTAGACGAGGGACAGAGAAGAGATGCTCTTTTCCTTGGATATGTTGACGTCAATAGAAGCATTTTGAAAGCAGCATTCCCTCCGTTCTCCAAGGTGGTACTGGTGCTTGTCCATTTTGCCCTAATTTATCCAATTCCAGAGTGCGCTTCAAAAGCCTTTCAAGAATGTCTCCTACGCTCTTGCAGCAAGAACCTTTCGGGCAAAATGGTGTATGTGAGAAGCAGCTAAGCCATAGCTCTTCGATTGTATAGTAAAGTTCTTGGGGTGAAGTTTTGTGTAACAGTGAAAATTTTTACTTTTTTAGTTTTAAATGATTTTTCAACAGTTTTAAGTTAAGGAACTTGAGGATGCAGCCGTTGAAATAGTCTCTCTCTTCTGGGTCCAATTGAAATATCAGCTGAAAGTGAGCGTGGAAGTTTTATTGATATTACTAGAAACTTTGACAAATTCTATTAAAACCGTGGATTGACCAAGTATACCATTGTGTATTTCAAGCAACAAATTATCTTACATAAATTTACCTTCTTTCTTGTCAGGCTGGAAAGTACTAAACAATTTCCACTCTCTTGACTCATTCGCAATCGCATATTTGAAAAGTATACAATTCACCCCTATGAAAACATTGTTACCATTAAGCTTACCTTGTCTTGATCTAGACATGGAATTTCCAGCTCTACAATTCGTTTCATTCTTTATCATATCAGCGTACCTTCTCTTCTCAGCCCTTTTCACTGAAGGCCAACCCGAGTGCAACGTAAAGTTGGGCTGGTCGTTATCTGCTGGAGACACTAACCTTCCATGGAGCTCGCCTTCCGGTGAGTTTGCCTTTGGATTTAGGCCTCTTCAACGATCTCCGTCTGATAATGAAGATCTCTTCTTGTTAGCCATCTGGTTCAATAAAATACCAGAACAAACTATTGTTTGGTCGGAAAACAAGTATTCAGTTCCACGAGGATCAAAAGTCCAGTTGACAAATGAAGGGCAACTCATTCTCTACAATCCTCGAGGCAAGGAAATATGGAGGGCTCAAACTAATAATGGTAAATCCTCCTGTGCTGCCATGCTTAATTCAGGGAACTTTGTGTTAATAAATGGATAATCTAGTCACATATGGGAGAGCTTCAAAGTGCCTACTGATACAATCTTGCCTGGCCAGAGCCTAAGCATGGATGGAAATCTTAATTCGCGCCAATCTGAGACGAATTATACGAAAGGAAGATTCCAGCTCAGTATGCAAAGTGATGGAAATCTTGTGCTTTACACTATATTTTTGCCACTTGGAGATGTAAATAGTGCTTATTGGGCTACTGGAACCATGCCTGCTAATCCTGATGCCCAACTTGTTTTCGATGAGGCTGGTTATGTCTTCTTAAAACGAGGGACGGATAATATACGAAACATCACGAATGAAGACATGGGTTCACCACAGGATTTTTACCACCTGGCAAGGATTGATTATGATGGAGTTTTCAGAGCCTATAGACATCCAAGAAAGGATTGTACTACTGATGCCAAAGGTTGCACATCGGCTTGGTCTATTATACAAAGCACTCCAGAAGATATTTGCGGAGCAATCTTGAGAGGTCTTGGGAGTGGGTTTTGTGGTTACAATAGCTATTGTGTGAACACAAATGGGAAGCCGCAATGCTTCTGCCCAGAAGGATACTCTCCGGTCGACTCATTTGATATGTTTAAAGGCTGCAAGCCGAACTTTCAATTGCCAAGTTGCCAGCAAAATGGATGGGAACTGAACTTGGAGTTTATAGAGTTTAAGGAATTAAATAACACTGACTGGCCCTTCACTGATTATGAACTTCAGACTGGAACACAAGTAGATAAGGATACGTGCAAACAATTATGCCTCCGGGATTGTTTTTGTGTAGCTGCTATTTATGATATGAACAATTGTTGGAAGAAAAAGTTCCCCCTTTCCTATGGAAGACAGTCCAAAAATTTGAGCAGAACTGCCCTGATCAAGGTTCCAAAAGGCAACACTACAGATTTGTGCCCCGAAAGAAAAGATCAATCTACTCTAGTTCTTGTTGGATCAGTACTTCTTGGTAGTTCTGTGTTAATCAATTTTCTTCTGTTGTTAACTATATCAGTTGCTGTTTTCTTCATATATCACAAGAATATGCTAAATTTATGGTCCGATTCATCTACATTCGGATTGAGAAAGTATACATACAAAGAACTTGAAGAGGCAACTGGGGGCTTCAAGCAGCAACTAGGCCGAGGAGCTTTTGGAACTGTCTATAAAGGTGTTACTCCATCAACTCCGAAAAGATATATTGCTGTTAAGATGCTGAAAAAGGTTGAACCAGAGGGTGAAAAAGAATTCACAACAGAAGTAAATGCAATTGGGAGGACCCACCACAAGAACTTAGTCACTCTTCTTGGTTATTGTGATGAAGGAGAAAATCGGCTTTTGGTTTATGAATATATGAGTAACGGATCTTTAGCTAGCCTTCTTTTTGGGATATCCAGACCTCATTGGAACCAAAGGGTGCAAATCATATGCGGTATTGCAAGAGGTCTAACGTACTTACACGAAGAATGCAGCACGCAGATAATCCACTGTGACGTGAAGCCTCAAAACATACTTCTGGACGAGTTCTTGATGCCTAAGATTTCTGACTTTGGATTGGCAAAACTTTTGTTGGCTGAGCAAAGTCGAGCAGCACGAACACACATTAGAGGGACAATAGGTTACTTCGCCCCCGAATGGTTCAGGAAAGCGTCCATCACTGTGAAAGTCGACGTTTATAGCTTTGGAGTGATGTTACTTGAGATCATTTGCTGTAAGTCAAGTGTCGTATTTTCAATGGAAGAAGAAGAGGAGGCTCTAATCGATTGGGCTTATGACTGCTACAGTAAAAAGAAACTAAACAAAATGGTGGAAAACGATGAAGCAGCAAGTAACGACATGAAAAGTGTAGAAAGACTAGTGATGGTAGCAATTTGGTGCATTCAAGAGGATCCTTCACTAAGGCCCTCCATGAAAAGAATTACACAGATGCTTGAGAGAGTTGCTGAAGTTCCTGTCCCTCCTCGCCCTTCATTATTTAGTTCGTCTTGAATTCACAGTCTTGTATATTTCTTCGGTTGTACAATAAGGATTCATTAGAATTTATGTTTGCAGGTTCTCATGTTCAAGCCAAGCATCTTCTTAGAATTCTATGTGAAATTTTACTTTATCAAGTAGCCTTAATATTCAGCAAATTATTTAGAGCCTGGTTGTGTAGTTGTGTGTTTTTCGTTCGTTCCCTATCAAGTAGCTGCAATATTGTTCTATCATGTAGCTTTAATCTTCAGCACTTACAACATTTATCATCACTTTGAATGCATATAAGGTTTCACTTGAGCAATGCTATTCATCACCCGTTTAGATAGAAGTACGCTCCTTGATTGACAAATCATTGAGAGCCCATTATCACCTAGACTGCTGATTATTCATTACTACCTAAACTTGTGATAACCACATATGAATAAAATATTATTCATTACGCATGGGACATAAAAATGGCTGAGGAAATTAAAAATTAGAATTCTTTTCCAGGAGGCTAAGACCATAATTTGTTACCCTCCGACCAAATATGAGATCAAGAAGGTGTCTTCAACTAAGATTTTAATGAATTTTAAAAGATTATAATTCTAATTAATTTCGTGAATTTAAATACATTTTTTCAGAATCCATAAAAATCTCATTAAAAATGACAAAATTTTAAAAGTTCGTTACATGTATATTTAGGCTTGAAATTCATCCAAATCAGTTGAAATTCCTTTATTAATGAAATCATTATAAATCCATGAGTTATTGAAAATACCTAGATTTAAATCCGATTAAATTTGAGTTGGGGATACCTAGATTTTAATAAATCGTATTAAAATATTAATTGGAGACGCCTGAATTTAGAATGACTTAAAATTCACTAAAATCTCAGTTGAGAACACTCACAAATTATTCAAATTATAAGTACTTGAAAAGTAGTAATTTTGTTTTGATATTTGTTTGATTTTCTAAAATACATTATGCGTATTTTTTGGGATGCATAGGTCCGAAATTTATGGTAATTTCAAACAGTGTTTTTCAACAAAAGATCATAGATCAAGATGTGCTTTTTTCTAATTTAGATTTTACAGCATTTATCAACTTCTTTGTTTTGATGTATTTATTGTTGGATGACTCGAAAATTTCAATTCGAATAGTTAATCCGCTCTTTTTCCCATTCAAAAATCACGATCATCAAACTTGCAGTGGAGTGTAATAGAAAGCTTAGGAGAGGGTTAGTTCTATACTTCTATTTTTTGATAACTAAATAATAATGTCGTCTTGACATGGTACAACGTTATAGTTCATGCCCTATTTCCTACTTTTCCACGTTCTCAATAGATTTAGTCATCTTCATACTTGCTAAAACATAACGACATCAAATCGTCCAGTGGTCGAGTGTTGGAATACCGAATACTACACTGCCATGGTAGAGACCTGGTTTCAATTCCCAGTTGGTGCATCTCACGAGAGACGTTTGCTATGAAGGGATATTTGTGCTGACCATCGTGATTGAGGTTTCCACATTCATTAGGATCGAACTCCATTATTTAAAAACTCGTTCAACTACATATTCTTCTAATAAAATAATTTTATATATAAACTTAGCACCCGTTTGGCACCTATTATTCCACATTCTAATAAAAGAAATAGTGATTTTTTTTTAATTTTTGAGAATGTGCAATAAAAAAAGAATGAATTTTTTTTTTAATTTACATATAATATTATTTTATTTGAAAATATGTAATTGCTAAAAAATAGAGAAATGAATTATAATTTAATAGAAAATAATGAGTGCCAAACGGGGGACTTAAAATCTTTCTTGCTTTAAACGATATGTTCTATAAAAAATTACTATTACAAAATTTATTTTTCCAAAAATTAAAGCTCAAACAAATCCTTAATATGTAGGTTCTTACATTTTTTTAAGGATCCGTTTGATTGTAAAGGTGAAAAGAAAATATTTTACAGATAATTAAATTGCCTAAAAATTATTTTACTGAAAATTGTAACTAATTGTATTTAATTAGTATAATTTTCCACCTAAAAAATATTGAAAGTTTAGTTTCCATTTAATTTCGTTTTTTATGAAAATTGTCCATTAAAGTAATATTTTTTCCTACCATTGAATCTAGAATTTATTTCAATTACAAAAACAAAAAAAAAAAATTGAAAAAAAAAAATTATCAAACCGAATACAATTCGTTTGACTTTATTTTGCATGACAATTATCAATAAAAGTGAAAAAAAATTTATCCATTGTGTCTAGAATTTTTTCAAAAAAAAAAAAACTGAAAAACCAATTCCCACCAAAATGGTGGGAAATGGTTTACCACAAAATCTAAGAAATTGTAAGCATGTGAAGTAAAGTTAAGAAAAATAATTCTATAGAAAACTTTGCCTATCAAACAAGGCAAAAGATGGAAAATGGGTTCCATTTTCCATGAAAAATCTATACTATCAAACATAGCCTAATTGATGGAACCAAATATTACATTTTGTTTATTATTTTTTTTAAAAAAATTAACTAGGAACTTTTATTTAATTTGTTTGTCTAGATTTTTGCATTTCTCTATTTTAACACTTTATAATAGAATTGACGAGTTTCTCCATAATTGAACAATCAATCTCGATATTTTGCATGAATCAACGAGATTAAATTTTTATTTCTTATTTCTCACCTGTTTTGTCTGCAACAACAGTTACATAGGGGTAGCAAAACAAGAACCCACCCATAGGAGATGGACGAGTGATTAACTCAACCATGATAGTCAAATTAGATTACTGTCAAATTATGTGTAGTGGTTGTGAAATATCAAAGAAAAATAAAACAAATAATTATTAAGCACTGAATTGAACAATATAAAAAAATGGTTATTTCAACTAATAAAACAAATTTTCACTTATAACTTATTTTAACTAATAACAATTGCAAGTGAAGTACATGCATGAAGTAAAAATGGGGAATAATATCAGACACCAAATAAATTCTTAGTTGAGATACATCAACAAACTGGAAAAAGAGGGGAATAATACAATCTTGCAAAAAAACTATATACAATATAGAGGAAATATATTACTTACAGCTATGCTTGTGGTTTCAAAGTATAGGACTCTGTAGTAACTGTTTATTTGACATGTGTATTATTTATCCATCTTTGTGTCCCAATTATATAGTAGGTCCCAACTATATAATACACATCAATTAAGATTAAACAAGTGACAGATAGTACTAGAAATTTTTCCCATATATGGAGCCAATGATCCCAGATTTAGCATTTTGAAACTGAGTCTCTGTGTCTACTTCAGCTGAAAAGTACTCGTTAAGCAATATTTACAATCTACCCAAATTTATGACTGAAAACTATGCATTTGGCAGTTCTCAATTACACAACAGCAGATCTAGCGCACAAAACCATAATCAGAATCAAGGGCAAGAAAACAGGAAAAGTCGTCACTTTTTTATATGTTCTAAACTGCATCAGAAACACCAAATTATGCAACTTCATACAGTCAAATGTGAGGGTTTCACCTTATGTCTTTGGATTTCAGTTTGCAGCAGATTCATTTTTTACGTGTTGCTCTACCATTGGGGGTAAGAGAAGACCAAGCCTGGTTTTGTATCTAGTAATTCGTTGAAGCCTTTCTTCTCTTAGCCTGCAGAAACGGCACCAACATATTACATTTAGGTCGGAATGAGAAGTAACTTAGAATAGGGTATTTTTGAGCAATTTTTAAACTTAACTATGATATATAACTAAGAAAATGTTTGGGGAATAAAAAGTATAGCCATTTTAAAAGTTACAACCTACAAGGTAGTATTTGTGGTTACTCAGTTTCACATTTATGTTTTATTGGTTGAAAATTATGTGAGAAGTATTCCAAGACAGGAAAGTCAATTACCGTGACCTAACCCTCTTAGCACGCTTGATATGTCTTTGCAACAGGTCTTTCGTAGATATTTCCTCAACAGCCTCCATATCCTGAAACAGAACAAGGAAATATGTCTGTCTCCTTGATATATAGAATAGCAAATTGCAGTAATATGTGCAAAGAAGAAAGCAAATACAAAGCAAAACTCTTCGAACTGTCATATTGCCACCAGATTTTCAAAGTACAAAAGATTAGGCAATCAACAAGCCAAAAACTTCAGTCCAAACATTATAATAATCTCAACTAATCATCAATGCCTCCACACTACCAGTGAGTTTGTTAACCACAATGCAACCACTTTCAACGCAGTCAAATGAAGAAATGCAATAGCATATGACATATTGACCACACAACGCAGCAAAACGTATTGAACGAAGCAGCTACAGGAACTCCACGTGTCTTCTTAAATTTCACATCGACCGTTTTCACAGAGCCATTTGCCAATGTACCCATTCAAAACCAACAATCTCCAAAAATCTTGTCTAGTTAAGAACTAGCATTTACTAGCAGCAAAACTTTAGACCAATAAAAAAACCCACACCAATCAGAACTTCATCCAGAACCTATTTCCATCTCCGGACGCATTTCCCATCTCCGTCTCCTCTTTCCCAGTTCCCTCATCCATCTTTTAGCTTGTTAAAAACATCTACTTTGAATATTATGGTTAGCTTTCTCTTTTTTTTTTTTTTTCTTGAAGTTTCAAATATTGAAAATATCGGTTCACGTCGGCTCCATGTTTGAATAAGAAATAAGAGCATGCCAAGTTCTGTATTTGACAAATGACCAGCACATATCATGTCCTATACGTGAGTAAGACTGACACTCCAACAACAGTGCTGTTTTAGTGCTTCAAAGTATAGCAACAATGGGTAACGAGAAACTTGGTCAAACATCTTTACGCCCAAGTAGACCCTAGTAGAGTGGTAATCAAGGTTGAATGGAAACTTTTACCAAAACTCAAACCTAGTCAGAACGTAGGGTCATTTGGGTCCCTTGCTATCAAGGTCTCAACTAGAATCGAGTTAAAATTCCACAAAACGTAATAAGATAATTCAACATTTGCAGACTAGTATTAGCTAGGGTTAAATTGAACAAAGTTCAGAGACATCAACTCCCTTTCTGCATGTCCATTAGACTGTCAAATTGCAGAGTTTATTTAAAACAATAAAGAAAAAAAAATCATATCTTTATCCAGGAGTATAACTTTAAAATGTAGACAATCTGATTTGAACATACAACATTTTTTCAACTTCGGTTCTGAATCTTTCGATTAGTTGAACCAAACAATGTGAAGTATTTTTCAATTCCCATTCCATTTTTGAGGTCATCCGACAGTGATGGTGATCCAAATGCCATCCAAGTTCATAGGAATTATTGTATCATGCACCATGAAAAGTAACACATGAACCAGGTCTTATGTCCTAAATTTCATACGCCACAATTAATTTAGAAACACATGGAGAAAATAGTTCATAGATAAACAGATTTATCTAATAGAGTTGTTTTTAGTTATGATATTCTCAACTCTTGATGGGACACAGGGAATTTGATGTTCTGCAAAAAGTAACGAGTTCATTCTCTGCACCGAAACTAAGTTTACAAAATTCTATCACTTACCACAAAGATAAAAGAGAGTTAAGAGATGCAAGATGGAAAGAACCCACTTGGAAGAAAACATTATATTCCTTCTAGACAAACAATTTGAGAAGTTACGGATATCTACCATTTTATTTGTGGGAAGGAAAACTTTCATGTCAAATTGTTTTAAGCCACTTAACATTTTCCCTTAAGTAAAATCTTTTAAATAATACCATGAGCGTTCACTCTACCAATTGAGCATAAAACATTATCACATGGATGATATGAAACAGTTAATATTATAAGACTTAAAATTCAGAAATCTACCCAAGGTTCCAAAACCCGAATACCATTAACCTAAATACTAGTCATAGTCCTAACAAGATGCAATTTGTTTCACAAAATTAATAATTTCTATACATGTAAAATAACTTTAACAGCTTAAAAAAAAATAAAAGTGATTGATTTCGATATTGATTTCACGTACAAACCTTTTCTTCCTCTTCTTTATCATCTTCCTTCCTCCCAGGAGAATCTGAATGTTGTGCAGCTACTGGCAGAGGTCTGGGAAGACACTTTCTGACATCCGGGTACTGAGGCTGCCGAAGAAGTGAAAATTTGAATCAAAACATTAATCTAAAAGCACAAAATTACATCATAAACAAGAGAGAAATACTCTTGCAAATCAGTATAAATTTTCTCACAAACATGCATGCAGTTACACAACCTCACATTCAAACAGAAGAGAGGACAACATTATTGAAAATGAGATCACATTTGCAAGAGAGCAAGCGAATTTCAATATCCACTACCTAAGAGTAACTTGTTGGCAATGAAGTTAGAAATGGACCACGTGTGATTGACTTCAACTTCGTTACATCTTATAACGTGAACCTCATATACATCTCAGTGGAGCATCCCCTACTAATGACGCGCTGCATTAGTGCATTGGATACCAAGAGGAGTGAAAGATGGTTAAGGTTAGCTAAGGTTTAAAACATAAGAGATGCGAAACTTTGGCTCCTGGAAGTGTCAGAAGGTAGCAAGGGTTCCAGCACTAGACAGAGGTAAGTACTAAAGTTAGTCCAGGATAATAGTATTATGATAGATATTCCGAGAACTTAAAAGAAAAACCTTCGAACATGCAGATATGATCATATGAATCATATGATGCATAGGAGGAAGCCAACATAACTTGCATACAATATGTCGAACGGGGTGGGAAAAAGGCAAAAGAATTATGGAACATTGGCTATAAACTTTGTTACAAGAATCAAAAGAATAGAAATGTGGCAGGGATAATCATTGAACCGAGTTGAGTCATAGAAGTTAAACAAAATATAACTCGCGCTTAACTTGTTTGTGTTCTGTGCGTAAAAGCTTATTTGTTATTTAGATGTGGAATGAGATGGCTAACATGGATTGTCCTTAATTGTAGGAACAGGAATAATATTAAAGTCGCTATAGAGAGCCGTGTAATACAAAAGAGTGATTATTTTAGGTTCCTTAGGTATGATTACTAAAAGGAACGATGAGTATTTTAGAGGATATGATACACAGAATTAGCAAAACATCAAGATAGAGAATACAAGAACCCAGATACTGTAGTGTTGCTTTATTACTAACAGAATACTCATAATATCTGTAATGAATAATTATGATTTTAGATTTTCTTCAACAGATATATTTCACATAACCACAGCTTTCTGCAGAAATTCTGTAACTGAGGTGTGAGTAAAAGGTGCATTTCTCAAGCTACCATCCAATTATGTGATTGATATGTTGTAAACCACAGAGCAACCTGACTTTATTCTATCCAAAAATTTTGAACCTTAGGCTTATCGTACATGACAACTTGTATAAAGAGTCTGTATGAAAAGCAGTAAAAAAACCATCACGTATTCATAAATCAGAGTCCTTTCAAGAGTCAAACCTGAGTTTCTTCTGGAAAACCATTCCTCAACCATGACCGGCAAAGGGCATAAAGAGAAGCATTTTCAGATATTCTAACCTGCAATAGAAAAGAAGCCTTTTGTTAAAAATTATACACAAACAAAAGTGAGAAAAAAAAATCATAGTTCAAATTTGGCCGAGTGGAATAATATTGCAAATTTATCAAAATATAAAAACAATTTTACAGAAAAAAAATTGAAGAAATATTGTTAAAAATGATAAATATTGATGAATTATCCCGATACCATGGGCGCTTAGTTAGGGATTCATGGTGAATAACCAGATTCAAATATAAATGAAATCTATCGAGTAAATCAATGTAATTTAAATTTAAAAAATGATGAAAGATTAATACAAATGTAGGACTTTTGAATTGAGAAAGATGTTGACAGAGATCAACAATCCATCTAAATTTCACAATCAAGGGTTTATACACATGAATATGGATGAGGAAAAAAAAAGTGCGTCTTCCTCATATATGTATTCACTTACACACAAGCATATTGATGCAGAGCATATAACAACATGTGGCATATTTGTTGGACAATTATTTGCTTACCATTTATTTCTAGTTTCTTTCATTACTTTCTTTAATTACTTCCATGAAATGACTTAAAACTGTGTCATTTAGCTATTTCTTATTAAGACCAAAACTGAATGAGAAAAAAGCATTCTGAATTCCAATAAATCATCTATGCTATTCTTCTTTTTGCAGCAGGTTTGGTTCGAAGAACCCATTATTGTTTGGGATTTATTTTTCCCTTTCTTAGGAATGCTACATGTGGCATCAGAGTTGGAGGTCTTGTGTTCAAGTCAATGCTAGAACATTTTCATTGAATGTGCGTATAATGTAGGAGCATGCTTGAAACAGGGGTGGACCTATAGTTGCTATTTGGGAATGGCACAATGCTGCCTTCGTAGGTGTCCTTAGAATTGAGGCCAAACAGAGTGGGCTTGGGGCAGATTCCTGGACCCATTTATGGGTCATGTAGGGTGGGTTGCACCTCTCCCATCAACTATAGCTTTTAAGACAAAGCAGTTGAATCTCCCTACATCACATACTTGTGTATATGTGTGGGTGTGGGTGTGGGTGTTTGTGCTTGTACATACATTATCATGAGCATTTACCTTTCGATCTCCAATAACCGTAACAGTATTATCCCTACTTCTATCCCTGCAGAAAAACATGGAGAACTGTAAGATTTGTGCAGAAGTAAAATAGCAAACTGGCACCTTGGTAAAAGCATAAGAGATCGACCAGAAAATGAAAGAGAGACAAAATAAAGATGGTGTAAAACATTACATCAAATCTTTGTAGCCGTTACTATCAGAGATGGTAGTTGAAGGACCAACCTGCAAGCCCCAAAAAATGAAACATGAAAAACATTTAGCGGGAGTGTATTATGTGAGTAATACATTAATAATGAACTGCAGAAAATGATACTTTCTGAAATCTTTTGGATTATGTGGACTTAAAATGTAATTTCCAGAAGTCAGCAATTCAACCATAAAAAAGTGAGACTTTAAATCTTTGCTATCTCCTTGCACACACAGCACAAATGCATTCCCACCTTTGGCACAGACATTGGAGCTCTTTGGGCTCCATTTAAACACAACAGCAAAATATTTGATTATAGCAACTTATTTGTGATTCGTTCTTATATTTCATAACTTTTATCTTGGTATAGATATAGATTCATATTATTTTAGTAGATCCAAGATATGCAAATTCCATGGTTTAAGAGTATCAATTTTTCTGCTCTATCTCTCTCTCTCTCTCTCTCTCTCTCTCCCCACTTAATTCAGGTGAAGGATTCAAACAGATACTTTCAGCATTAGTCTTCTGTAAGTAATTTACTTCCATATGTTTCATATCCATCTCTGGTTTTCACACAAAATTTACTAGCTTTAGACATTATGCTAGTTTCTATGATATCATACAGAAACAAATCATGGAAAAATGAGAAAGCCAACTAGTGATGAAGCTTAAAATGAAATTTCATTTAGAGCATGTGTTGGATTTTTAAGTGCAAAAGAATAGAGAAATCAACGCAAGTATTTAACGTGGTTCGTCGATGTGCCTACGTTCACAAGGATCGAAGCGGAGATTTTATTCAATATGAATAATAGGATTACATCATTAGTATTTATAGAAACCCTAATCCAAGCTCAAGCCCATATAAAACTTTAGGATCCGTACAAGAAAATACGCATGTACCATACCGCGGGAGCGTTGTCCCAGCCACCCCCAACCTATTCAGCATCTCTGGCAAACAAATAGTGAATTAAACCCACAATGCCAATGTCATCGGCCATTTTGATCCAATAAACTTGTGTTCCACTCTAAATGAGCCACATATACAACAACATGTTTAAAGTAGCTTATTCTAAGAAATAAGTTCCAAATGTGTGGTTTGTTTTGGTTTATTTTGAATGTAGGTTGGTGCACATTAAAAATAAGCCACACATTAGGTCCACTTGATGCTTTTCTTTTCTTTTATACTTCAAACTGATGTTATCCAAACTGTGGCTTTTGATGTTATCAAAACTGATGCGGACATCCATCACGATTTATTTTATATTATGGATTTTATATTATTTATGTTTTCTATCATTAGGCTTGTATTATTGAGTTTGGCCCAAGCCCATATACTTTCTGGGTTTGTTGATTGAGGAAATTACATAATTTCAGGTATTTAAACTTCACAATTCAAAAATCAGGGCTGAAGTTTCATTATGCATAAATCAGGTATCTATAAATTAAATATTATCCACCCAATTTATTACAAACTCTAATAATTTCAATTCTCATTCTCTCTCTCTCTCTCTACATCTCCCATTCTCTCTCTACTTCTCTCATTTCTTTCCCTTTACGCCGCCACCCGTTGAAACTCCGGCAACCGACGATGGAGCTGCACCGGCCAATACACACTCTCTCTCCTCCCACAAGTGCCGCGTCGCCATCTTCTTCCAATCATCGCGATGGGCGAAGCTCATCTTCACGTGCGGCGGCGAAGCACAGCAGCTCTATTCGTCGCTGCACGCGGTGCTTAGAGCATCGCCCAACGCAAATTTAAGTCGACGACGGCATGATGAAGGTGATCGGGACAAGATGGTGTAGCCGGACTACGCTGTGCGGCCACACCGGTCGGCGGCAGTGGGCGATTTCTGTGTGTAAAAGTCGATTGTGTTGTTATGATGTGTGCGGTAATAATTTGGCACGAAGGCAAGGCTAGCAAAAAAGGTGACCACATCGTGTGACAATCGGGTCCTGAACCAAGTCGAAGCAAATATTACACTTGAAATGTCCAGCATCTGTTTGTAGGGCTCCCTGTTTGTCGATTCCCCAAGCCTATTCACCATCTTTCACCCTCAGATTACTAGAATCTCCTACTACAAATTTAACTCTGGTGCAGTGGTAAAGATGGTTGTTGGTGCAGCCGTGCAGGTGGTGGAGGTGGCCGATTTGTGGCACATGTGCGCTAATTTGTGTGAGTTCTGTAGTGGTGTGGAGTTGGGGACTTTCTTCAGATGAATGCTGTGAGATGGTGGTGTGGTATTTGACCAGATTAGATGTGTGGTGGGTTGGCAATGATGGTGACAATCGACGGTGGTGCCAAATTTGTGACTAAAAATATTATTTGTGACCAAAAATATTATTTGTGACCTTACAATTTGGTAATCTGTGACTAAAAATATAATTCGTGACCAACCAATTTTCATTTTGGTGGCGATGGTGGACGGTATAGTAGTGGCGATGGTGGTTAGACGGTGTGACAGTGGCTGGGCTCTGGGTTTTCATTTTGGGGCGGGGCGGGGCGGGGGATAGTCTGTGACCAAATGTTGGTAATTTGTGACCAAATGTTGGTAATCTGTGACCAAATGTTTGGTAATTTGTCATCAATTACTCAACTGAGACCTAAAAATTTAATAATACGTGATTCAAAAATAATCTGTGATCAACTAATTTAAAAATCTGTGACTTCGAAATAATTTGTGACCTCGAAATAATCTGATATGTGACCTTGAAATAATCTGGGATAAAAAAATTTGACGATATGTGACCAATAAATAAATCTGTAACTTATAATTATGAATATATGACAATTAATCACAAACTGTGACTTTGTTATCTTTATTTAATAAATATTTTTAATTAATTAAATTTATACCTAATTTTTGAATTTTCAAACTATTTACCTTACATTTGAATTGTG